ATATGTACTAGGACACTCCATGGGTGGTATGTTAGCCACACGCTTCGCCCTCATGTACCCAGAACAAACATCCCATCTCATTCTCACGAACCCGATCGGCTTGGAAGACTGGAAAGCACTTGGAGTCCCATGGCGCAATCTCGACGCCTTGTACAAAGACGAGCTGGCCACCAACTACACATCGATTCGGAGATACCAACAGGCAACCTACTACGTCAATACCTGGAAGCCGGAATACGATGTCTGGGTGAATATGCTAGTCTCACTTTACCAAACGTCTCCCGAGAACATCGACTTTGCGTACAATATGGCGCAGACGACGGATATGGTCTTGACTCAACCCATTGCGTATGAGTTTGAGCTGGTACAGCCTAAGACTCTTCTCTTGATAGGGACAAAAGACACAACAGCTATCGGTAAAGCTTGGAGCCCACCAGATGTACAAGCCAAGATAGGTAAATACGAGGTGTTGGGTAAAGAAGTGGCGGCGAGGATTCCAAACGCGACGTTGATCGAATTCGAGGATCTGGGCCACAGTCCCCAAGTTCAGGACAGCGAAAGATATCATAGCGCGCTGTTTGGATGGTTGGAGGGATCTAATTGAACTTGTTGAGGCGGTGCGGGGTGTGTGTGACAAGTGAAAGGGAGGGAGGTAGCGAAACAAAAAGAGAAATATGCGAATTTTTATGGCCGCAGGCAATTTCGAACCCGGAGCAAAAATAGATCGCTTCAACCGAAGCCTGTATGTGAACGGATCACACCCTGCACGACAGGGTAGACATGCGAAGGACATACGCTACGGGCCCATCAGATTCTATTGAGATATTAGTAAATTATTGCGTATATATACTACGATACAATGTTCCAATTGCTTGGAGGTGATGGTTGAGAGTGCGTTTGCTTGTGTGACTGTGAGAACGGGGACGTGAAAACAGTCTCCGCACAGACTGGGTACGTCACGTCGACAGGCCGAATAAACAGACTATCTGAGCGAAAGGGACCACATCACTTGCGCTGTTTCACTGCTCACACGTCGCAGGATAAGATGTTCGCTCAGGTGTGTTCGGTGTGTATGTAACCGTCACCGTATGTCCGACTGAGTCACTGGTGTCTCAGGACATCCAGAACGCCCTTCTAAAGATCACGGTAACCACAAAATACGTTCGATACCTTAACATACACCCTTCTATCCATCCCCAAGCCATTGACACACTCCACGCCCCACTAACACCCTCACCAATCCGTCCTCATACTATAATAAAAATTCCCACTAACCTTCCCCAACAAATGATCCCCATACCTCCCCTTCCCATACCCGCCCTTTCCACCCGTCCTCTCCACACATTTCCCTAACGGCTCAACCCACGCCTCAAAATTCGGCTCATAGAAAAACGGCACACTAACCCTATACCTCTCCCCCCTATGAATAACCCGGTGTTTAGTACTCTTCCACAACCCGTTCGTCCACCGCTCAATCATATCGCCGATGTTGACGACGAAGGCGCCGGGGAGCGGGTCCGCGTTAAGCCAGGTTGTCCCGTCTTTGAGCAGGACTTGGAGGGAGGAGGGAGTGGGGTCTGTGAGGAGGAGGGTGACGCAACCGTAGTCTGTGTGGGCGCCGCAGGAGAATTGGTCGATATTTTCGTCGCCGGAGATGGGGGTTGTGAGGGGTGGGTAGCCGATCATGCGCATGACCCAGAAGGAGTCGGAGCAGTTTCGCAGGAAGATTTCTTCGTCTTGACTCTCCTGGGTTGCGTTTTCTGTGACAGGACCCAGATCGAGGGCTACGCCCATGGCGTGCACGAGTGCTTCGCCGACTTTCTTGACGCGCGAGATGTATTCTTCGTATACGGGTCTGAGCTGTTCAGGTTTCTCAGGCCATAGATTAACTCCTTGGAGACTCTTCACGCTACCTGGTCCGCCGTCGCCTGGTTCTCTTTCGTCGGCGGGCCAGTCCCGGTACCAGTCAATGGCTTCTTGCATGTCTTGCAGCCCACCCGTCACGTTTTCGCCGAGCCCCTGGTAGCCGCGCGCGCCGTCGCCTCCTTCTGGGCTACCGGCGTCGAAGCGCTTGATTTTGTTCTTTTCTTCTATGGGTAGAGAAAAGAATTCTCGCGCCAGGTTGATGATTTCATTGAGTTTGGTCGTGGGGATGCCATGGCCGGTTAGGTAGAAGAAGCCGTAGTTTATGCAGGCGGCGTTTATGGCGGAGGCGGTTGTGGAACGGGCTTCTTTTGATGAGGAGGGGTCCATGAAGGGAGATATGTCGATTATGGGTAATCCATCTTCCTGAGCGGCGGCGATGGGCTTATCGTAGCGGGAGCCGGAGTCGGGAGTGGGGTTGAGGTTTGCGGGAGATGAGGATGTGGTGCCATTTGACTGCTTATCTCCTGCTGGACCGGGGGCTGTATTCATATTTGACATTATGCCTTCCTTCAAATGACCGTCTCTTGCTTGGTTCGCTGGCACCTTTTCAACTCAATGATGGATGGATGGGTCGTATTGCCTCTGACTCAGACACGATAACGGTCCTAGTAACTCACAATCGATCGTCCTAGAATGAAGTTAGCAGTCATGTATGATTTCCTATGAGCACTGCGTGTAAATTCCGATGAGGTTGGCGAATCGGTACAAACGTGTGTTGGAGTAGAAAGATCGGGATGTCGAATGTTCGGATGGCGATGCCGGATCGAGACTAGACGCGGCTATTCTAGGACATGTTCAAAAGACGCGACTATGGGAGATGTGTGTCCAGATCATGCTACCACGAAGGATTTTGTCCAAATTGATGACTGCTCACGGTTTTTGTTCATGATAAAGATCTTCCCCTCCACGTATGTGCACGTCACTCAGTTTGCTGCCAAACAGTGCATGGCAGCAGAGAGCAGCACCCACAGATATGCGTCTTCACGAATGCAAGCAAAAGATGCAAGATCATTCTTTCTGTCATCGTGGGTTCATTTCAAGTATAGTGGTATATCGCTCTATCCAGTCACATGTCATGCATCGCATCATGATTAATTTCTATAGATGCACCTGTATCGCATCATCACGCACTGCCAACTAGCAAAACACTGTTACCAGTCGTGGTCATTTACATGATGACCTCGTTCGAGACGTCCTTTATAATACGTTAGTACACGCTGTAGAACATAGATGTTGATTGACTCACCCTCTTAAGCTCCTTGTATGGCAGGCAAACACAGTTTTGCACGCGAACCTCATCAGCCACAGCACACTCCTTTCCGAGAATGGTGATGCTCTGAACCTTGACACCGTTCTTGATGACGCTAGTGGTGTGGCTGGTGACGGGGGTAGGAGTACCCTCGACACGCGCCCAAGCACCGACCTTGCTGTGCCAGCCGATGATGGTGTACAAGACGCAAGCATCGTGCTTGATTTCTGAGTCTTCAAGAACGATAGACTCCTTGACACGTACACCAGCGCCAATGACGACGCGGGGGCCGATGGAGACGTTGGGGCCGATCTTGGCGGTTGGGTCGATCTGCGCGGAGGGGTGGATGTAGACGGGAGGGAGGATGTTGGCGGAGGGGGCGGCGAGCTCTTCTGAGCCTGCCTGGAAAGCCTTCAGGAGGTACAGAGCATTCGCTGGCACGGCGGAACCAGCGGTCTTGATCTGGCGCCAGAAGTCCTTGGTCTCGAGGACGAAGAACTGCCTGCTGTCGGCGATGTCAGACAGCACGTCCTGCTCCAACCGGATAACAGCATTCTCCTTGTTGTCATCGTCGTCGTCGTTTTGGTAGAAGGAGGATTCGAGGTTCTCGGAGGAGGGGTACGACAGCAGCCGTGGGCGCTCGGTCCGTCGCTTGATGGCGCTGCGGATGGCGGGGAAGATGCACTCGGTCGCGAAGAGGTAGACGCCGCAGTTGATGAGGTTGGAGATGTGCGACTCGGGCTTCTCGACGTAGTGGAGTACGCGCTTCGTGTGCGCGTCCGAGACAATGCATCCGAAGTTGGAGGCGGCGTCGTTGGCGACCCGCGTCCCCAGCATTACCGCCTCCGCATCCTTGTCCTCGAACAGCTTGAGCATCTCCACCAGCGGGAACGAGGAGCAGACATCGGCGTTGAGCACAAATAGCTTCTCGGGCCTGCCCTTCAGTATGACGTCGCGGAAGTGGTAGAGACCGCCCGCCGTGCCCAATGCCTGGTATTCGCGGAGGTACTTAACGCTCAGGTGCGGCCAGCTGGTCGAGACGGCGTTGATGAACTGCTGGAAGACAGACTCCTCGTAGTAGCCGACGATGAAGACCTCCTTGATCTCGGGGACGTTTGTGATGGCGCGGAAGCAGTGCTCGATTATCGGGTGGCCGGCGATGGGGAAGAGCGGCTAGAGCAGCGTTAGCGGGGATGTCCTGGGGCTGTCTATTTCGCGTCGTCGCGTACCTTGGGCAGTTCCATAGACAGAGGCCTGAAACGTGTGCCGCGAGAAGGGCCTCCGACCTAGTGCGGTGAGTAAACATGGCTGCGTCGGTGTTGTGGGCAGTATCTACCAGAATCACGGCCTTGGTCGAGCCTCCAGACCCAGACGGAGACTTGGGCCTCATGGAGAGGGAAGGCGGTTGCAGACTCATAGTGGCGTAGTTTTGGGTGTGAAAAAGCAAGCTGAAATCAAGAGATTGTCGGAATGTCTCAAGATCAGAAGAAAGGTGCAGTGAGTGCAATTGCGAATCTGGCCTTCAGGAACGAGTTGGTGGACCCTGGAAATCCAGCCCACGTTGGCGTTGGCGGTGAGGCGCCCTGGCGAATCGGGGCGTCGGCGCATCGTCAGGTGCAGCTCAACTTCATCCCTTTTCACACGCCAGCTGTGAGGGAATACGAGCAAGCTAATCCGTCGCGCATATACGATGTCACCATGCTAACAATTCTGCTACCAAGATAACAACCTGGATTTAGTGATAGCTGCTAAGCATATCGTCTGTCGAAACCTCCTACCACCTATGCTACACCTATTGGGGATTCCCATCAACCATATACCACCACTACTTTCCTACGCCAGTCGCGAGCTTCTTGTTCTTCTTGATCAGCGCATTGAGCTTCTTCTCCAAAACATCGTGCTCTCTCCTCGCCGCATGCATCGCTTGCTCCGCCTCTTCCATAGTCAGCACACTACCTCTTCCTCGCCTCGTGTTGCCATATCCACCCATCCCAGCTGTCGTCTCAATCGCGTTCATCAGCCCCTGCATATCTAGTCCGCTTCCGCCTCCATTTCCAAAGGTGATGTTGCCGTTGCCGTCAAGGCCGAACTCTTGTGAAGACTGGTAGCCAAGTCCAGCACCCACAAGCGCTTCGAGACCCTGCACAAACACGCCGCCAAGCCTGTCAGCCGCCATCAATCCCATGCTGTCTATTTCTGTGCTTCCTACCGCTCCTCCCTCAACCACTGCTTTGGCCGCTTTGGCTAGTCGGTTCGAGTTGACAGAGATGTTCGCTGTTCCGGCGCCAGGTGCGCCACCAACAGCCGCCATCTCGGGACGTGGCTGGTTTGGCGGTGGGTTGTCCGTCTTCGGGAGAACGTATTGATTCAGATAGGCGCCGGCATCTGCGGGTGTTTGCTGCTGTTGTGGGGGAGGGACCTGGGGCATGGACGCGTCCTGGCCTTGTACCGGTGGCAAGGGAAGGTTCGTCGAACCAAGAAGTCCAGAGGAATTGTCCAGTCGCGGCATCTGCTGTCCGCCGTTGGTGTTCAGCTTCTTACCTGCCTCCTTGAGTGCAGTGGCGATAGCTGGGAGGACGTCATTCGAATGCGCTGAAGTAGTCATGCTGTGACCGTGTGCATTTTGCTTACGAGGGTGGAATCGGGCATGGCCCTTGAGCTCCTCGATATGCTTTTCAAGCTCAAGTGCTTTATTTTCAAGCTCCTCGGTCAACCCCCAGAAGAACTTGCCATTGGGTGTAATCAGGGTCCTAGAGTCTGGCTTTGCGTCCTGGCTGTTCAGACGTACTGGCTTCTTCTTCGCAAGCGCCTCAAGGTCGGCTTGGGAAAAGTGCAACTTCAGATCCGGAGGTGTAGATACATTGCCATTCTGAGTAGAGCGGGTAGCATGAGCAAGTGACGAAGACAGCGGTTTGAAGAACTCAAGGGTCGATGCAAGGAGCTCGCCCGTGCGCTGCAAGTCAGCCATGATCGACTGAGCTGAATGTTCCCGCTTTTCCTTGGGCTGTTCGGGCTCGGGCTCCGGTTCAGGCGTTGCTGTTGCCGAGATCTTCGCTGACGAGACTCTCCGTGAGGCCACTGTCGGCACTTCAGGTTGTTCCTCTTCAACAGTAGCTGGCTTGGGCGAGGCTGGCTGACTCTTGAAGGCAGCGGCAATAGGTTTGGCGTTTGTTGTCGGCTTTTTGGCTTTCTTCTTGCGCCCAATGATTGGAGCTTGCATTACCTCAACATCCGACTTGTTGTCTTCCAGTATTTCTTCTTCTATCTGCTTCTTTCGCTCTTGTCTATCCTTCTTGGCTTGTGACTTTGTCTTCTTCCTAACAGGCGCAGTCCCAACCTTACCGCCGATCGGAGGCGGTGAGCTGGCCCTTGAAAATGATGTAGAGGTAACTGAAGCAGTGTCCGATATCATTTCGCTTGGCGTGCCTGGTATGTTGACGGAAGCGATACTCGCTTGCCTAGATCGAAGCTTGTCGACCGTTGGGATCTGAGGCAAAGACGGTTGTGATGCCGCGGTAACAGGCGGTGGCACTTCTGTCTTTGGTGTTGCGACGACACGCAAAGTCCTCGGCGCACCCGCGCGCTTGATTGGCGATCCAGTCACCGCTGCGGCGGGACTTGGAGGCACAGAACCAGCTGATGTCGTTGGCACAGAACGACTGCTTTTTGCCTGAGAGTCTGTTTTAGATGAGGTTGGAGCTGGAGAGCCAGCTTCAACCGGCAGTTTAGTTGCTGCTTGAATATCGAGCTTGCCAGGAGGCTGTCGCTTGGTCGAAGCTGGAGGTGTCGCAGTCGCCGCAGGAGTGCGCGCTGTCTCTTTCTGTGGCTCTCTCTTCGGGGTGGTCTGAACTGCAGCTTGAGTCTTCTTAGAAGCACCCTTCGACTTTGGCGTGTCCTTGCTTATCGTCTCCGCCATTGACTTCTTAGCATCTGGGGTCGACTTGGGTGTCTGCATAACTTCTTCTTTAGCTGCTTTTGAGGCCTCTCTGGGTGTGGGTTCCTTGGGTGTCTGGGGAACAACAACTGCTTCCCTGGTCGTTGTTCTTGAGGGCGTCGTAGGCGCAGGTGAAGGCTTGGAGACAGTGGTCGCGGTAGGTGCTGCTGCAGGAGTTGCAGGTCCAGTAGTCTCAGCTTTCTGCTTACCCTTGGTATTCTTGTTAGGAGTTGAGTTGGGAAGCGGCGTGGCAGGTACAACAGGCACGGCCGGTATTATGGTCGAAGATGTAGTACGGGACATTGGTCGAGATCCAGCACGCGAACGTGACTCTTCAAGGACTGCTTTGGGAATTGCTGGTACTGTGAAGCCAGGCGGTACAGTAGGAGTCGATCGGCGAGGATGCTCGAAGAATTGGCCGCTTAGTGGAGTGCTTGGAGCGGGTCGTATTGGCTCATTATCGCTATCGTTAACGAGTGCATCGACGTTGATAGAGGCCTGTTCTTCTACACTCAAAGATCCATCATCTGCAATACTACGTTAGCACTAGAATCTCAATGTTTGAATCGACAAAAACGGAGTCAGAATCTATAAGTACGGCGGCCGCCAGACGATGATTAGGCTGGGTTGACAAAAGCGTAAGGTACATCATGTTGCAAAAGTCGTCTCTCGAACATCTTCGTCACTTGGTGGGCAAGAAAACAGTGAACAGGCCATCTCTCTATTAGAAAGTAAGCATGCCGACATGATGCGGCAGGAGGGGTAGTTACGTACATGCGATGGCCATGACGAAGACGACGAGAGAAGCCAACCTTTGCAGCGGCAGACAGCGCAATCCACCAAATCATGACAGAAAATGAAAAGAAATGAGAAGGTATAGGTGCCGTGAAGACATGCCGGGGCCATATGTTTTGACAAAATCCGTGCAGTCCAATCATAACGCCAGGCGATCCAGTGTCGAAGCACTGAATATGTGCCGATGCATTCGCCGCAAATCCGAAACGCCATGCAGCCATCATTGAAGTAAAGTACTAAGACAAAATGTCAAGCCGCTAGGCCGACCCGAGTGCAGAATGAAAGTGACTACCATCGTCCAGCGCCGCCGTAGTTGTTGTTGGAATAGAGCGAAGAGAAACCACCTTGGCCTTGACCATACAAGCCCTGCCCGGCCATCCCGCCTTGGTGCAGCCTCGCCTGCAAGATACTCGGGTCTTGCACATCGGCAAGACCGCCACCCCCAGAGGAGGAAGTGTTGGCATGCCTATGCTTCTTGCCCTTTTTCTTGGATTTCTGCGAACCAGACTCCTGGTAAGCTCCAGGCGAAGGTCCATAAGGGAAGCTGAGGAGGCCAGGGGCAGGGGCAGGTGTGGAAGTTGAAGGATGTTGATTAAGGAAAGAAGGAAACATTGACTCACGCTTTCCAGCATCAGCTAGCCTAGCACCACCGTCCATGTTACGGCTGCGGAGCAGGTCCTGATACATGGCATCATTGTTGTTCCTTGCCGTTGCGCCAGCCCCATAAGGTAGACCACCAGTAGCGAAACCGTGGCCTTGACCGAACATGCCAGTCCCGCTGACTGGGGGTGTGCCAGTAGGCTTAAGTCCTGGAGGGGGTCCCTGCACGTTGGTGAAGAACTGTCCACTCAACTGCTGATGCTGAGACATTGGGTTGAATTGGTTGGCGTTCTTGGGCATCATCGAGTTTTGCTGGCTCATCAACTTCTGGTTCGCGACAGGCTGCACATTCGCGGAAGCGGAAGCGCTGTCGTTGGCGAAGCTGAAGCGTGAAGTGTGCCTGGTATGGCCAGAAGCATTGTGCTGTTGAGGCTGCTGAGCACTCGGCATGTTGTTCAGAATGCCCGTGGCTTGGGTGCCAGACTTGAAGTTGGAGAGCAATAGCTGCTGCTGTTGCTGAGGTGTAAGGCCTCTGTTACTCAATCCCAGGCTGCTGAAGTCCTCGGCCAGTGGCGTGTTCTGCCCGAAAAGGCTGCCTCCGAAACCTTGCTGACCAGGTGGTGCAATCGCGTGTTGATTGAGGTGGTTGGTATTTGTCTCGGGACCGTCTTCGGGCTCTCCGCCTAGCTGCAAGCTGCCGCCAGCCGTTGCTTCATTGTCTTCACGCTCAGCAGCCGGGGCTTGTTGGGACGCTGCCTTTGCTACAGCTACAGCTTCCGCTTCAGCCTCGCGCTGCAATGCCAGTTCCTTCTCCTTCTTTTCTTTGATGGCACGACGCTTAGCACCGCCATTGGGATCCAGTAGTTGAGGGAACTCAGTGACAGCTTTCAATTCTTCCTCCGACAGAACGGCGCTCGAGAAGACGAACTTAAAGTCTGGCGAGCAGATGACCTTCAGCAAATCGTGAATACCATTGTCGCGGGGCTTCGGAGGGCGGGCGGCGGGTGCGGGTGTCGGAGCAGGCGGTGGGGTGGCAGCCTTCGATGCTTGTGCAGCCTTCTCCTTTTCCCTCTCTTTCTCCTTTTCTTTTTCTTTTTCTTTGTCCTTGCCCTTCTTCTTTGGTGGCTCAGCTGCCTTCGATGGTTTGGGTGGTTGCGCGGGAACAGCATTCGTGACCATGGGACTGGCGTTGTTCGAAGCGACGGTGGATCGGCTGGCTCGGCGTTCCAGCAACGCCTTACTTCCCCAGCTAGCGGTTGCAGGCAAACCGGGTGCCTCATGTATCGAGCTCGACGTATCGGTACTATCCTGTCGATGCATCGGGATCGCGGCAGCGACAGCGGGACCCTGGTGGGCGGGGGGCGCGGCTCGAGACGTAGACGATTGTGACGGTTGTTGCGTCTGGATTGAGTTCATCATGGAGAGATCTTGGCGAGTGAAACTGTCGTTGTCTTCGCCGGGTTCGTGCAAGAACATGCAATTGCGGTTATTGCAGGTCTCGCCGCGGAGATACGCTGAACAGTACTTCGTAGTACCAAATTGAGCTCTGCAAGAGATGTGAGCTTGTTACATGACACGTGTGCATGGATAGAGATTCACATACCTTAATGTCCTCTCGCCATTCTGAGAACCGTCGACAGCATTGATGCACTTCTCTGCATCTTCCTTGCGAGCGAATGTCACATAAACACCCACCGACTGTTGATGCTGCGCGTTCTCCTTGGCTTTGCTGACGACAATCTTGAGGATCTTGCCGTACTGGCCGAAGTAGTCGTCTCCGCGAAGAGTTTTGAGGAGTTCGTCTTCGCGTATCGTCGGCGTGAGACCGGTCACGTATACGAGGTTCTTCTGGACGACACGCAGACCAGACAGGTGCTTGCGGCTGAGAGAGTCGGCTTCGGCTTTCTGTGCTTCCTTCTGCCGTATCTGGGCATTCTTCTTGGCCTTTTGCGCGATGAGCTGCTTGTGTTGTGCCATCCTGGGTAGTGTCAGATGTGTTTAGAGATGGAAGGTGCAGGGGACCCACTCTTCGGGGGAGATGGTCTTCCACTCGATCGTGGAGTCATCGTAGGGGCGGCGGCAGGCGGGACACAGTCCGTTCATGGTCGTCTTGATGTTGTTGTAGCAGAACTGACATATCTGGCACGCGGGTCAGCATGGGACTCGAGATGGTTCACCGAGTTTTGGCACAAAGGCGTACTTGGTAGCCGCATGGGCAGGGGCGGAAGTTCCTGTCCGAGAGGTCGAACTCTTCGACACAGAGCGGGCAGCACTCCTCCTCGTCATCGTCGACGAACTGGTCCTGCTGCAGTCGAGACATGGTGTGTGTGGTTGCGATGTGTTGTTGAGAGCGGGTGGCGCTCAAAGTAGAGAAACGTGGGGTGAGACGAGACCTGGGGGGTCGGGACGAGAGGTCAGTAAGGAAACCGCGGAAGTACAAATAAACGCCGGCCGGAGTGTCGCTGTCGCTGGAAGAGGGATCCACAGGAGGTGATGGGGGTTAAGAGGCTGCACCTGCGCGATGGCACACCAGGTTCCGCTTAACGCTAGCGACTTACATAAGCGCGCATTTGCGGGTGGGAGCTGCGAACTCGACGACGTCGACGACATCACCACCCGCAGTCGCCCTCACCTGCTACATCGCGTAGCCTCACCACTCTCTCACCGCACAGAATGGCTATGCGGCTAGCTGTAGGCCGGCCATTGGGCGCCGCCGTCCGCGCCTCGGGCTCCTCCCGCCATGCAGTTCGCACCTTTGCCTCCACGGCTCTCCGGGCAAAGGAAGTCGCGGGTCCCGAATCGGAAACGCCAAACATGAGGGTGCGCACGTCACATGCTATGGCAGAGATGCGGTTTCTAATGTGAACGCAGTTTGCTCCCCGCGACGAGTCCGTCACGCTCAAGCGCGCCATCGTGAACCCGGCCGACCACTACAAAGAGAAGGGCGAGGCTCTGCACAAGTATGGCCAGTACATCATGTCATGTCTGCCCAAATACGTCCAGCAGTATGTCAATTCACACCTGGTAGTAACTACCGTCTGACCCTATCCAAGATTCTCCGTCTGGAAGGATGAGTTGACCATCTACGTCCCGCCCGCCGGCATCATCCCCACCTTTACCTTCCTCAAGTACCACACCGCCGCAGAGTACACACAAATCTCAGATATCACCGCCGTCGACTACCCCACCAAGGACCAGCGATTTGAGGTCGTCTACAACATGCTCAGCATCCGTCACAACTCGCGCCTGAGGGTCAAGACGTACGCGGATGAGGCCACCCCAGTACCCAGTCTATGCGATCTCTACGATGGTGCCAACTGGTACGAACGTGAGGTCTACGATCTGTTTGGTGTCTTCTTCGTTGGACACCCGGATCTGAGGCGAATCATGACCGACTACGGTTTCGACGGCCACCCACTGCGAAAGGACTTCCCCATGACTGGATACACTGAAATCCGATACGACGAGGAGAAGAAGAGGATTGTCGTAGAACCCCTGGAGATGACACAGGCTTTCAGGAACTTCCGTGGTGGTTCATCAGCCTGGGAGCAGGTCGGTCCTGGTGACGATCTCAAGCCGGAGAACGTAAGCTATCCCGCATCCTACTCTCTCGATGCAGCCTCTGACATGCACGCAGTTCAAGCTCCCAACGCCAAAGCCAGAGCCTCCCAAGGAGGGAGAGCAAAAGAAATAGAAGGCTTAGAGCATTTGGATTGTATATACCTGCGAATGAATGTGATTGTACAACATCCGATGGCCCACAACGTATACCCGCTGCTGTGGTGATTTGCTCGGTGTAGTTGCTTCACTTGTCGGCGCTTTTGAGTCTGCACAATCCAGATTGCACGTCGGAGTAAGATTCACAAGACTTTCAGATGGAATTAGCCATGCTAGGCACAGGTCCGACTACTGCAGCGCGATCGCGTCTCGTATTTCGTATTTGAAGTTTCGATGCTCATGCCAAGCAGATCTCGCATTTCCCCGCCCAATCAGGGAAGCGCCTAGCACTGCACCTTCCTCCGTCAGTTCCCACTTGTCGGGTAAACACCGGTACCCGCTACAACATCTTGCATGATCTGCCGTAGTATGGCTTGATGTGTAAGACGAACCACCACAGCTACCCATCGGAAGTCGAACCTCGCACGTTCTCACCCGGAACAGTACCCCGCTTTCCCCGTCTGCATCACAAGATGCCAACATCCCAGGATGAAAAGGCTTCGGGGTAATCTCCTTTGGTAACCTGAGTGGGCTCTTGAGCATGGGGACCTCCACCGCCATCACAATTATCAAGCTGTATCAAACCGACGTTCTACCGTACTTCCGACTTCCAGCCAATCGCATGCGTTACCATACTTTCGCAGTAATCGCCGTCGTCACACCTGTAGAGCTGTCTTGCATCACTGTGCCAAGGTATAAATACAATCATGATTCCGTAGATTAACATGCCTCATCAAGATGAAGTCCTCCATTCTCTCTTTCCTCGCAGCTACAGCCACAGCCGCAGTCACCATGTCCAACACGACTACCACAACCATCAAGCCTTTCACCCTCTCGGCTCCACCAAACACTGACATCTGGCGCAAGCCTCCCATGCACAACGCCTTCAATGCATCGACCTACCCAGAGCAGCTCCCAAGCTTCACCCTGAAGAACTTCCAGCGAGCGCAGCTGTCGTTCGAGCTTCCACCGTCTGACCAACTCCGCCAATACGACCAAGCTGGCCTCTTGCTGCATGTCACCAAGCCAGGTGTTCCAGACAACCAAACCAAATGGATCAAGACTGGTATCGAGTTCTACTACGGAAAGCCGTATGTGGCGACCGTGGGCTGTGATGCTTGGGCTGACTGGTCACTTACACCTATGCCTGAGTTCAAGAACGGCACTATGCCCGGCGCCACCATTGAGGCGAGAAGGGAGAGCGATGCGCTTGGCAACAGTCTTTGGATTTACTGGATCATCAAGGATGAGGCTGGCAAGGAGGTCAGCAGGCAGCCGTTGAGAGAGGTCACCTGGGTCCTTGCGGAGGAGTATGAGCGATGGAGCGTCAGTATCGCAGGATACGTTTGTCGCCCGACCACGGCAGGTGGCGATGGGATGCTTGAGGCGGAGTTCAAGGACGGTCTGGAGATTGAGACTCTCAATCACGTGTAAGGGGAGAGTGCAAGATGGGCGTTTGTTAAGGTACGTGATGTCGTCACCTGCGGATGCGATAGTATCTGATAGCAAAGAGTAGATGGTGTATAAGTCGCAGTGACGCGTGGATAGCCAGTACTTTTCTCAATCTGATATCGTTTACCTCCATATATACGAACTTCTCCACATGTATCTTGCTCAATACGGCTATCAAATCCATATCTTACGACTGTGGTGAGCACAATATGACCCAAGTCTGCTTCCAGGAGAGTCAAGTGAGCCATCACTGGCTCCTGAGGAGGGGTCAGCCGAGCGTAAGCGACGGTTTCTCTCATTCATTGAGCCAGCACAAACTCACTGCGCCTGCCTAGAGAGAGCACTGACCTCTGGGCTATATATCCTCATCGATTCTGATTTCTTGATCCACACTCCCTACTCGACAATTATAGTTATCTGATTCAATACTCTCTACGATTCCGCAATCATGGTCAACGTTCAGTTACACTGCCCGTCCACGAAGAAGACCGTCGAGGACTTCTTCATCACACCTTTCCAAAGCCTCGAGCAAGTTCTACCGAGTGTACGACTTGCCCTCAACATCAAGTACGCGGCGCTCTACACTACCGAGGCCAAACGGATCATGGAACCAAGTACCCTTCAAGAAGACCAGCGAGTGTTGGTGGCAGCCAGCGCATCAGAGACTATGTTACCTGACTCGCCATCTGAATGGGTACTGTACGACGGCGAGGAGGGCGACGATGTCGCCATGAACGTCGAATGCTATGGCCTTGAGTGGGTTGTAAGTATACATTACCCGTGATCGTCAACAAAGGAAGTCACTGACCGCGATGTAGGAGCTATGTGACCTCGACAAGTGCTTGCACATCACCAGTCTGAACGTGCAGAAACCCGCAACCCGGAACAAGTTGCGTATTACACGCGAGTTCAAGCCTGTCCAGGCCGACATCGACGCCTCGGAGGCTAAAACCTTAACTTCTTCAAGTGTTGCAGAGAACGAGGACCGTATCGAGAAGTGCTGGGCCGTCGCCGTCGAGCACTTCCTTACTACCTCGATGAAACCTGCCGCCGCTAAGTCCAGCTCCAAGTCCTGCGACCCCGACACCCTGGCTACTCTAGCTATCCTCGCAAGTTTCACTCAAGGTCAATCCCGAATAGCTTTGGAGGTACTTGAAGAAGCGGTCGCTCTTCGCACCGAAGAGGATCAAGGCGACGACAAGGATCCCGCTTTGCGGAAAGGCGATGTTCTTAACGCAATCACGATCATCTACGAGCGGGCTGAAGAAATCCCAGCTAAGCTCATCAAGGGTAAGGGCGCGAAAGGGAAGGGTAAGGGGAGGAGGAGGTCCTCGAAGGGCACTCCGAAGAAGCTTAGCGCTATGTCGAGTTGAGTGAAGTGATGGATGGATGAAGCGGCTACAAGACGGGTCTAGTGCTTACATGGAGTTACTTGAGCGAGCGAGGATATACCCGGAGTGTTTTGAAAGTGAAATTAGGGATGGGAAGTCTTACCCAGGCGGATATTTTGGGTTTGTACGGTATACATGAGCGATGGGAGATACCTATGTAGCTGGGAACACTGTTTACGGCACACGATTGCAATGAGTCTATGAGGTTTGTATTTGTCTACCAATCACCTTCATTGCTAACAAGCAGAGGCGTCAGGATATGTATACTTACATATCTTCCGATACATCCCCTCTTACATCTTCACATTCCTCCTCACCCAAACTGCCAAAGAATGTCAGGACAACCCCAACCAAGTGCACAACCAGCCATCTCTAGTAAGTTCGAATCCAAAGCTATTTCCCAATCAAAACGTACCAGTCCTCTGACCAAGCAGGTCAATGGCTTCTAGACAAGCTCAAGAAGACGTCCCGTCAAAACATAGAAGATTGTACGTCCACCATCCACCTCACCCATGCACCCTCCTTCCACCATCTCTTTTCCTTTAGCCTATCACTCTACTTCTCCATACCCCGACCTTCTGTTCTTATAAACCAGCCTCACCCATCCCACAGACCTCCGCATCCTCCGCTTGCACGTCAAAGAAAGCGCCGCAGAAAATGCATTGCAACTAGCACGCAACACCACAATCTCCGAATTCGTACTACAGAAACTTCAGAAACTTGAAGGTAAACACCCGAAACACGAGGTTGATGCGGCGAGGGAGTATGAGATGATGACGAGGTGGAAGCTGCTAATTGAGAGGGCTGTCAGTGATGCTAAGCATGAAGGGTTGGTGGAGTTGGTGAAGAGGATTGAGGAGCTGATTGAGGGTGATGCAGATGGACAGGCTGGGGTTTGATGATGGGGTTTGTGATGGTTAGGGGGCGAGAGACGAGACTAGTGAGACGGAGATCTAGATGATGCACGAGTCCAGTGAGTTTGGGGACTGTATGCCGCTTGCCTCGATAAACAACGTCGCGAGGAGCAAGCTACAAAGCCCATCGAATCCATCGAGTTTGTAGCTGTGTACCAAGCACCTCAGGTACTACCAAATAATTGTCCCCGATACAAGCACGACCACATATATCAGCGTCAGATTCTTTCCAACATCCTTACTCCATCTCATACACACCTACCTAGGTAGAAGACAGCATCCCGAACGCATCGCTCAAGTATCTCCAAACGAATCGACCAGCATGTCCGGACAAGAACAGCCACCAGGCCCGCAAATCTACATGTCCCAAGGGGATAAGTTCTCTAGTAACGAAGCCCCCAAAGCCCCTTCTTAGAAAAGTCAACGACTTGCTAACTCGATACCATGAAGCGGTGACGGAATACCTAGATTTCCTCCAAACCCAATCACGACGCCCTAAAGAAGAATGTACGTACACCCCACACCCCAGACGGGCTCCTTCTCTGCAACCGTCACTAACGTGTACATTTTGACACTTGTATAGGCCTGACCGTCCTGAAGAAGTCCATTGACAAGAGCGTGAGACGTGTAGCTGAACATCGTGAACGCGACGAATTAGTCATAGAACTCGCTCAGTCAGAAGTCGAGGCTATGGAAGAAGGCGAAGAACGAAAGCACGATGTGGAGAAGCTCGAGTTTAAGAAGAAAAAGAGAATGTTTGAGTCGTTGGTGGATGCTGCCATGCATGACGGCTTACAGAAGTTGACCGGTGCGGTCGAGGAAATTGTGCGGAATCATGTGCCGAATGAGGCCGATGCTCATCGATCCTAGATGGAGAGGGTTGGCTAGGTTTGTAGTTTGCATACCCTTTGTCTTGTTTGACCGACGTAGTAAATAACAAGCAGTGCCATCACATATATTCCGGCAGTGCGATACTCCTTGGCTCAGAATCTCTATCACTCTTCTATCAGTCAGCTCTCCCTCAGTCATGAACTCACATCTGACCTCTGTATCTAAAATGCGGCATCCGAAAAGCACCAACGACTTGCGAAAAGCGCCAACCATGATTGCAGATGCAGAGCCCCTAAACCCACCCGTTCGTCCAAACATATCCAGTGAGTGCTACCGCAACGTCCTTTTCCGAGAATAAAACAGCAGACTAACGAATAAAAAACAACAGGCTTATGGTTCACTTCCAATCTCCCCAAAATGACTCTCAAAGATCGAAATGCCCGTACGTGCCTAGCTCCCCTCTTCTTCCTCACCCTGTTCATTCTTCTACCTACCCCTGCCTGGATGTCGCTCGCTTCACTTTACCATCTCACATAGTCCACCTCATAGCTACCGGTGGAGCTCAAATCTTCTGACACGCATCCAGATGAACGCACCCTGAGCTCCTACATTAAAGACAGCATTGTCGAGAGAAAATCAATCACTGACAAATCCGACGATTACATCAAATGGGAAAAGGATCTTGTCGAAGATCTGGAAGAGCAGCTGAAACGTGCAAAGGAGCGAATAGAGGAAGAGAGGCGACGGGTCGATCTCGAGAAGGTAGTACATGATACTAAGCACGAAGGTTTGGTGGAGTTGCTGAGCAAGGTCAAACAAGCGTTGTGGCCAAGATATTAGAGCGGGAGGATCCAGCGGCTTTGCGGTTTGCCGACCTACCAGTCATGTCACCAATCGACGGGTTGTATAGCAAACCGCACGCCGTCTATACATTCATAATACTACGCTCTCTTGTTAGCGGTTTCCAAGATCCGTCTCTCTTCTACCGTTCCGCTATCGCACCTTGACCCACCAAACTACTTTCCACATCTCCATCCGAAGGCCCTCTTCATAAACTCATACCACAATGTCCGATGACGAAGAAGCTCCACTCCCCACAACCATCGAGATCGATAGTAGGCAACCTTCCTTCCTCGCTCTTGCAGAACCGCTACCGTAGCCATAAGAAAGTACCAGCTAACCAGCCCCTCCTCAACAGCATCATGGTTTCTATCCAAACTCCCACAGCTATCGCATGAAGATAGACACGAATGTAAGTAACCATCGCCATGCCACCTGCGAATTCCAACATAGCCAAAACACGGTACTAATCCAACCTAATCCTTACACAGACAACGCCGTTCTCATCCGTAACATCGAGACCATGATGGAAGAGTTGGGATTGCCTGACCGTGATCACCACGCCGCCAATGTGAACGCCGATGCTGAAGTCGTGGCAGCAAGGAGATTAGTTGCGGAAATGAAGGAGCTGCAGGAGCTTGCGGAAGAACGTTTGGGATTGCCTGACCGTGATCACCACGCCGCCAATGTGAACGCCGATGCTGAAGTCGTGGCAGCAAGGAGATTAGTTGCGCAAGCGAAGGAGCTGCTGAGGCTTGCTGATGAACGTTTCCATCGTGTGCATGATATATCCATTGCTCTGGGTCAGGAGAAGGGTAGGAAGATTGGAGCCTTGCTTACGCTGATGAAGAAGACTAAAGAGGCTATGAAGAAGACTAAAGAGGCTATGCGGGAGGAGGGGTGGACAGATCTTGGGGAGGCAAGTGAAGAACATGGTGACAGCTCTGATAATAGCTGATTTCCAGGCTGTAAAAGAACCTGATGATATGTAGATTTGGTAGATGATGCCTTACATGTTACTTACACCCCAAACCCACCCATTCCATTCCTAATCTTCATCCCCCTACGCCGCCTGCGCAGCCCTCAACCCCCCTCTCTGCCCCGCATTGCGACTCCTAACCTCAGTCTGCCCAACTTCCAAATGCGTGCCCGCCCTGCTCTTCTCGAGCGACACAGCCGCCCGGTCAGTTACCTCAATATAATCCTTCGCATCACGCTCGACCGCACCAGGAGTAGAGACGTGAATACCCTCAACGAGAACCTTCTCATCATCCGGTATCTCCAGTGTAGTTTCCTTAATTTCTGGACCTTGTGTCTTTGTGCCGAAGGGCGGGTCGAAGCGTTTCCGCAGCGTTTCGATCATCTTGCCGAACCAGAACCAGTTCAGGCCGTTGAGGATGATGTTGGAGGCGAGGTAGGCAGTTATGAGCCAGAGAGGGACGGTCTGGCCTTCGGCGAATCGGAGGATGTCGTGTTTGAAGCCGGCGTTGTGGAGGGTGGTGTTTTGCGATAGCTTCCCGACGTCTGGATCTGAGTGCGTGTATGCGCCGGCAGCGTAGGCGTGGTAGACGTCGGTAAAGACGCGGATGGAGTTGTAGGATCCCCACACGATGCGGCAGGAGAAGAAGGTACACAGCAGGATTATGCCGTTGACGAGCTGGATGGTGGTGCCGGTCATGTTGAGCTTATCGCAGAACCAGTGGATGTTCAGGAAGGGCGAGGAGAGCTCGTAGAGGATAAAGGTGCACGCGTAGTAGTTCACGAAGGGACGCTGTCACACGATCAGTACTCTGAATAGCTCCCATGTGCTCTGGGAAGCACCGTGGTCTACTTACGAAACCCAGCGAGAACACGCATAGGGCGCAGATAGCATGGAACAGCATGCCGGTACCGAATGCCTTAACATTCTGCAACGTGATGACCAAGTCCCATAGGAAGTAGCCTCCTGCCATGGCTTGGATCAAGCCAGACGCTCCAGTATATCCATGCACGCGCTCCGTCGAGTCCATCTGATTCAGCTCCTTATCCGTCCACATGACCCATAGCGCCATTCCGCAGACCAGCGTGCTCTGCACAAATGACACGATGTGCACATCCCAGTTGAGCTTGGTTCGCGCGGTGAAGTTGGCGTATATCCGCGGGAAGAAGAAGCGTGAGATGGCGGGGGCGCCGTAGCTGAAGATAATCTGGTAGAACGTGAAGGCTATCGCGACTTCGTGGAAGTGCAGCGGCAGCGACTTCATGTTGAGGAAGTCGGCCACGGGCTGTACATATTTGACCAGGCTCTCCGGCGGCGCGAAAGGGAACGGGTCGTGCATCGTGGCAGTCGAGTGTGGGGTGCAGCAGACGCGGAGGTAGGTGGAGGTGGAGGTGCGAGGAGTGATGTCAGGGCGGTAAGGGTTGCACGCGAGCAGGAGCGATGGTCCCTTCTTATGCAGGGAAGCAGCGGAGGGGCGTTCGGCAGGAAGGCAGAGCAAGAGCGGTTTTATACTCGGGTAGATACGAAGATCCAAGGCCGCGGCGGCACAATGATGCACGCCGCTCGAGGATGCCTGGGAAAAGGTGCGGATGACGACCAAGCTTGGTGCAGTCCCTTGTTCTAGGCCGAGATGCGATTAGCGAGCCGAGGACCCATCGCCCTGCGCCAGAGGCACACGACAGATTTCATGTCCACCGGGTCATTTTTGTGGAATGCTAAATCACTGCCACGGGACCACGTCATGTTGGATGCTGTTGGATGTGTATGGGTACAGTGCACCGCCACTAGAGGCGTCATGCCGTGACAAATCTCACCCTCTTCGGAAGCCGCATCACCGCATACAAGGAAGAAGTTGAACAGTTATGAGAAGTAAATAGCTCAGAGGTTTTTATTGACTTGACTTACTTTCGTTTTGTAATAGAGTAGACTGCAGTGCAACTGCTCGGCGTTTTCCTCGTAGAGGTGGTAGTGGGTATCTTAAATCGATAATGTGATGATGTAGACGCCGCGCTCAAAGCCCATCAAGTCTGACGTTCTGATTGTGCCAACAGTTGATGCATTTATCCACCTTCAATCTCGCAGCGTATGCTACGAGGAACATCTCTGCAACGTACGACGTTCTCTCAATTCTGTCGAGAAGGAAGTAGAAGTCCTGCAAACTCCTATAGCTAATGATCCGATTGCTGTGACCGAGTAAATTTGCCGGGTGGGCAGTGAATTGGCTCTGGTGTGCGACCGGTACAGGTGAGTTGAAGAGGGCATTCATGCGTCTAGCCTCTTCCATGGAAGATACCGGCGGCGTAGGTAGCCCATAAACATAGTCCTGCTGAGCAGACGCATGATCATGTGATGCTATGTTGGTTGGTCCTGTCCATCCTCCTGTGTTCCCTCCGGGCAGAAGAGTACCTGCTGCTCTGTTTTCGGCCAGCCCTCTTTCCATGTCCAACTGTGAACCAATCCACAATGACCACACAGCTTCTGTCAAGTTGTCATGTGTAGGTACAACGTTAAAAGCGAACCCCATCTCGTGCTCGTTGTTGAAAGGATAGTATCTGTTGGTCTGGCTATGCCTCCCACCAGGGAAATAGTCTTGGTAACTGACAGTGGCATTTGGAACGCCGAGTTCGTCGTTGACCTGCTTGTTGAAGTATGCGTTGCGATGCTTCTCACTCATCGACACCAGTCCTTCCTCCCACATAAGTCGCTCGGCGACTAGGAAAAGTTTACGCACGTGGGCATGCGCCTCACGCTTCCCTCTGCAGATGGGGCAACAGTAGAATGGCATGTACTGAAGGCTTGGAGTTTGCGTGGCATGTGCCCTCAATCCTTGTAATGGATATGGAATGAAGTCTTGCCGCGGGAATGGTACAGTCGCGGACTGTCCTTGGCCCCGACTCGTACTTGTTCTGCGCCTTCTCTCAGTTTCAGCAATAGGGCCATTTTCGAAGCAGATGTTGGAGTCTTCCGGGTCGGCCAGAGGGTCGCATGCCGCGTCAATTGGGCGATTGCCAGGATTGGAAGTCATGGTGAGTAAGATGTAGGAGAGAGAGACCAAGAGAACTCATGATTTACACAGGTCTGTCAGGCAGGCTTTTACACTCTTATTTGAAGCCCTGACCCAACATGACGATGTATTACGAGTACTTGCGAGTGTCTCACTGGGGCTTTAGAGGGTCACCGCGGTACCGTGGTCGTGAGGGGGCCAAGGTGAGGGGACAGGCGAATAAACATTCTGCCCTCAGGAGTTGTTGAATTACCGCACAGAGTTACCATCCTACTCGTCTGGCTGATCCTCAACAGACACATCCTGCGAATAGTACACCCATGTAAGGCGGAGTGAGATAATGCGGGGAGGTTTCGTGACGCGACTTACGCGACGGCAGCGTGCAGGGATCAAGGATGCTCAAAAGTTAGGAAGGCGCGAAAGCGGGACACAGCAAGAGATCCGACTGCAATTCTCATGTTACAACCATGAAAGCTGTCCGACCATCTTTCCGCGCCAATGCGACATGTCAGAGGCAGTTCTTCTGCAGCAACTTAACGTCATGTCGGACCAGTTTAATACCACGCCGAGCATACACACGACCAGCGTTCGCACCGAAACCCACCATCGACATTAAACACATCCGGCAGAACCCAGGACTATATGAGCAGAACTGCATAGACCGCAACTATGCTGCACATAGCAAATCGTCATGGCGGATCATAGAACTGCACGAGCAATGGCTCGCACTCCAGCAAAGCAGTCGCGACCTACGAGAGCGCAACAATCGCATACGGGCCACTCTAGCTAGGACAGCATCGCGCGCCAAGGACGCCGACGGCAAACCAGTAGCCTTGAGAGAAGGTCTGATCAGCGATGCGAAGGCATTGAAGGCAGAGTTGAGCTCTATCGAGGCACAAGAGTCAGAGATCCAAGAAGAGATAGAAGGGCTGGCGCAGGATCTACCCAACTTGAGCAGCACATGCACGCCCGTCGGCACCGAAGCAGATGTACTCGGCTACATCAACGAGTCCTCGAAATCACAAAATCGCAAGTCGCACGTCGACATTGGGCAGGAATTGGGGATACTTGACTTCTCGGGCTCAGCGCAGACTTCGGGTTGGGGCTGGTACTTTCTGGTTGGAGACGGTGCAACGCTGGAACAGGCACTCGTGCAGTACGCCCTAAGTGTCGCTAGGAGGAAAGGATGGAAAGCAGTCGCACCCCCATCCTTGGTGTACTCGCACATTGCATCTGCATGCGGATTCCAGCCGCGCGATCAAAACGGGGAGCAGCAGATATATGCCATTGAGCAGTCAGAGAAGGACAAGGCAAAGCCGCAACTCGCTCTCGCCGGAACTGCAGAGATACCGCTTGCTGGCATGAAGGCCAATCAGACTCTAGAGGAGACCGAGCTGCCACTGAAGGCAGTCGGCGTGAGCAGATGCTACCGTGCTGAAGCTGGCGCAAGAGGAGCCGACACAAAGGGCTTGTACCGTGTTCACGAATTCACCAAGGTCGAGATGTTTGCCTGGACAACACCCGACAACATGGGTGAAGACCACTTTACTACTCCAACGGCACCGAGCTCAGAGTCAATCTTTGACGAGATGCTGTCGATCCAAAAGGAGATACTAGAAGCACTTGGGCTGCACTGCCGCATCCTCGAAATGCCCACAACCGACCTCGGTGCCAGCGCGACGCGGAAAATCGACATCGAAGCCTTCTTCCCATCCCGAGAGAAAGACGAAGGATGGGGCGAGGTGACATCATCGTCCATGTGCACAGACTACCAGAGCCGACGACTACAGACTCGCATGCGCGTGAAGGGAGGCAAACTAGAGTTCCCGTACACGCTCAACGGAACAGCACTTGCTGTGCCCAGAGTCCTCGCAGCGATTCTGGAGAACCACTGGAACGAACAGGACAGCACGGTAACAATACCAGAGGTACTCCGACCATTCATGGGTGGGCAAGAAAAGATACAGGCGGAGCGTCGTTGATGGTGTGAAGAAGTACTGTACGATATGTATCATGTATCTAGACTATGATGTCAGGTGGTTGGGTGTTACTGGTGCCGCAACTAGATGCGCGACACCACTCAAGAAATATGCAGTCAAGATATCCTATGGCCACAGCCGTCTACAAAACCACGCTGCTCGCCCCCTGCATCAACTTTCAGAGCTTCGGACCGTCAGATGCTTGCACTCCCCTGTTTTGACCGCGACATCCCAGCTGGTCCCATCGAGGCTGACTCTGCGCTTGGCCCGGTTATGACCGGCGATTGGCGCACAGCCTCCAACCTGTTCGAGCTGGGTGGCAGGGTGCATGCGACCAGGTGCATATTGGATAGCGGCCATGTGAACAACCGCCACAGCCACTGCTGTCCGCTGCTGCACGGCTCCTGAAACATTCTCTCAAGACTGCACATGCGTCGCAAAGCAGCAGAGTCTACCCTGTCGCGCTGAACCGGTTCTGGGCCAAGGTCCACCTTTGGCGCCATCGCATTCGAGGTGGGGTGGTTAGCGGGCCATTCTCGTCTACCGCCTACGCACCAGCCTCCAGCGCTCACCAGCATCAACAACCCGGCCGCCCACCACCAGCCTGCCTGCACCGCGAGCTGCACCGCTGCGTGCAACCACCGCACCACGCAGCTTTGTTGCTGTCGCCACCTGCCCCCGCCCGACAAGTGTCACCCGCCTCCAGCCATCCGCGAGCCGTCGCAATATTGTTGGAACGCATCATTGTCGCAAACCACTCCTTCGGCCACCCCGAGCACCACAACACCAGACCCGGACTGCGAGATAGCACACGTCGCGGCGCATGGTTTCCTACCCAGACTCGGCGAGTGCAGAGCGCTCACTGCCCATACGGCGTCCCTCGTCGGTTGTGTCGCACTCGTCGCGCGCATCCACCGTCCGCAGACATCGCCAGCACCGCTCCAATGTGGGCGGTTCGTCGCTAGCACCCCAAAATGAGTTCCCCGTGTTCACGCATACCGGCGACGTCGAAATCGTTATCAGCAATGGGCGGAAGGAAATGCGTTATCTGCTGCACAAGTTGATTCTGACGCAGTGCTCGGGCTTCTTCGAGGCTGGCACGAGCGATGAGTGGGCGACTGCTGGCGATGTGACCAACGCCGGGCCCAGCAACGGCACCGCCCTGTCGAGGATACCATCAGGATCACGACCCGAGCAGAAGCGGAAATGGCGGTACGAGATGGATTGGGGCAGCAGCGATGACGACCTGCCCATGCTCGTGCAGAAGGTGTGTTTGTTTACCGTCCGCGACGGCGACCATGCTAACGAGAGTCCAGAAGAACCAGCCTACCATGTTTGGCGGCGACCCAAGTCCAC